TAGCCCAAGAACTCAAGGTCAATCATTTTATGGTTGTTCGGCATTTGAAGCAAATTGGAAAGGTGAAAAAGCTTGATAAGTGGGTGCCTCATGAGCTGACCAAAAATCAAAAAATTGTCATTTTGATGCATACCACCCGAAGGATGGACATATTTGAAACTCGGACTTAGGGGGGTAGGAGGGGTGGGGGGGCAAGGGCAACATAGGTAACCTAAACATCTGTACCCCCATAATATGCTGAAATAAAAAAAAAATTGTCATTTTGAAGTGTCTTCTTATATGCAACAAAGATGAACCATTTCTTGATCAGATAGTGACGTGCAAGGGAAAATGGATTTTTTACGACAACTGGCACCAGCTCAGCGGTTGGACTGAGAATAAGCTCCAAAGCACTTCCCAAAGCCACACTTGCACCAAAAAAGGGCATGGTCACTCTTTGGTGGTCTGCTGCCAGTCTGATCCACTGCAGCTTTCTGAAACCCAGCAAAAGCATTACATCTGAGAAGTATGCTGAGCAAATGGATGAGACGCACCAAAAACTGCAACGCCTGCAGCTGGCATTGGTCAACACAAAGGGCCCAATTCTTCTCCATGACAATGCCCGAATGAATGTCGCACAACCCATGCTGCAAAAGTTGAACGAAGGGGGCCATGAAGTTTTGCCTCACCCGCCATGTTCATCTGACCTCTCTCCAACTGACTACCACTTCTTCAAGCATCTCCACAACTTTTTGCAGGGGAAACGCTTCCACAACCAGCAGGATGCAGAAAATGCTGTCCAAGACTTCATCGAGTCCTGAAGCATGGATTTTTATGCTATAGGAATAAACAAACTTATTTCTTATTGGCAAAAATGTGTTGATTGTAATGGTTTCCATTTTGATTAATAAAGATGCATTTGAGTCTAGTTATAATGATTTAAAATTCACGGTCAAAACTGCAGTTACTTTTGCACCAATCTAATACAAGGTTACAAAGGCTTCAAAATGAGCCATTACAAACATAGTCAAAGCATTAAAGAAAACTATATTGAAAGAATTAAAGAAAATGTGCTAACGATGAGTCAATATCTAGGGAACCTCAAGAGAGAAAGAAACATGACAATAAAGAACCAAATGGACATTTAAAGTTGAAAAGTACAATAACTAAAATGAAAGAAATGACAAGAGAGGCTGAACCGCAGGTTTGAGATGGCAGAAGAAATCAGTGAACTTACATCAACAGAAATGCAAATTGAAGAACTGAGAAAGAGGCAGAAAAAATATATAATTTTTGCAAATAATGGCTAAAACCTTCCCAAATTAATGAAAAACATTAAATCACATTCCAGAATTTCAACCACCCCCACGTATGATAAACACAAGCAGACCACACCTACACACATGATAAGCAAACTGCTGAAAGACAGAACATTTCAAAAGGCAGCAAGAGAAAAATGACTAATTACGGAGAGGTAACAATGTCCATGGATTCTCATTCAAAACAACGGAGACCCTCAGGTCGTGCAATCACAAATTCACAGTGTTGAAAGAAAAAAACCCCTGTCAATTAGAATTCTATGGCCAGCTAAACTCTTTCAAAAATCGAAGGCAGAAGAAAAACACTTCCAAATAAAAACTGAATTTGTTGCAAACTGACCTACCACAGATGAACTACTGAACAGTCCTTATGCTGAAAAAAAAAAACAAACCACCAAACTGTTACTCACAGGAAGTATTGCCGAGAGTGGGAAACGGCACATATGTCGGTAAATACAAGAGACTGTGTGTATCCATATATTTTTATCTTCTTTTCCTGCTTAAAGCAATAATTTTACCATTCTATTATTGAGTTTATAATGTACATAGTTATAGGAAATGGAGCTACAGTGGTGCTAATTTGCTAAATTTTACAGAATTAACTCTGCAGCAAGCTGATGAAGATTATGATAAATTCAGGAAGCACTTGTCATAAATTCAGGAAGCACGCTGTACTCCCTAAGGCAACCGCCAAAAAAGTAACTGAAAAATAGAGCTAAGAAATCAACACAGGACATATTTATCCTCATTATGCAGATGAGGAAACGAGTCCATAGTGAATTCATGTAATTTTATGTTGCCTCGGCATCCACTGTGAATACAGGTTTGACTCTCACACCGAGAAGCAGGGCTCAGTCCCTCTTGACACAATTTCCAGTTCTCTGCCACCTCCCGGCTGCTTAATGTGGCCATACGACTGCCTCCTAGCGACCACCTTCCTAGGGGACAGCTGGATACAATGCACTTGATTTGCCCACTGTCCCCCACACTCCACAGGAACAGAGCAGAGGCGCCACAGTGCCCCCTCAGTCACAGCATGCCTCCCTGGAATGGCACTTGCTTGCTCCAAACCCTCCAATTAGAACTCCCCTTGGGAAACCTGCTTGGGAAATGCCCTGGACCCCAATAAAGGCCTCAGCCCACAGGTCCCTCTCTCTGCTGGTTGAGTGCGTGTCCCTGATAGCCCCCACTTCCCATTGGCCCTGCGAGGCCTGCTGCCCTCTTCTCCCTGGATTAAGTAATACACTGCTTTTGTCTGTGTGTGTTTTGTTGAGTTGCCTCCTCTGGGTCTCACCTGAACAACACACCCAAACCTAACTTCTTTCCAGGTCAGGGCTCTCCTAGACAGGGGCTGCCTTGGTGGGAATAAACTGGATACAGGTCAAACGAGAGCCACAAGGGCATCTGCCAGGGTAAGCAAGTTTCCGTGAGAGGGACACCTGCTCACGGGTCAGGCGCAGAGGCATTAGCTGTCTGCCGGGATAAAGAAGTGTCCCCGTGAAAGGCACACTGCACATCCACAACCAAATCCCTGGAGCCCCAGCAGGGCTGGGCTAGAGTTTACACCCACTCTCCTGAGAGCGGCCCCAAGACCAAGTCAGAGGAAAATACAACAGAGTCCTAGAAGGTGACCCGACCTGCCACAGCGAGGGCAGGCCCCCAGGACTCCCACCTGCGCCCCCCCCCAGGACTTGATTCACACCTCCCACTGGGTCAGGTGCAGGCAGGTGGGAAAACCACTCAGGCAAAATAACCGCATGTGAGAATCTTCTCACATTCATGCGGGCTTTTGTCAGACTCTTCACCTATCAGTGAAAGGAAAGGTTTCTCAATACATTATAAATTGCCTCCCAGTCTGTGAAAATATTTCCCTTGCCACTTTCATATCGATTCTTTTCTTCAAGCCTGAGAATGACTGCATATGAGCTGGCACAGCAGGAAGGGGGTGACTTCTCAAGCAGAGCTATTAATAATTAGCTGCAGTGCCCAGCGAACACACAAGAAAATGCATGGGTGGCCTCCCCACGCCCATGATGGGTTTCATCAGCATTAATTTTATGTCTGCCTGAACTGTCTTCCTGCATCTGGGAGGGCTGACACCCTTCATCAGGCTCCTCCTGACACTGCAGACATGGTGGGGAGGGCAGGAGGGCAAAACTTCCTAACTCGCTACAGGTTTGGTGGGCACCTGCCCTGCGCTCACGGCCCCCACAGTGGCACCAGGGAAGCTTGGCTCACACTGCCTCATGTTCATCAGAGAACTGAGCTGTGTCGGAAGATATTCCTCCCTACTAAGACACCGTTTAATCTCATAAAGATTAAAAAAATGAATACTTTAATATTTATTTTTGAATAAACACCTACTGATGTTTGTTGTGCTTCACATTTTATAAAGTGCAATATGAAAATACAAGCTGACATTTAATGAACCCACAATGTGCCAGGGACTAAGCTAAGCTCATTTCTCACCTGCTGTTATTCATCATCCCCATTTTTCAGAAGAAGAAACTGAATTATAGAGTAGTTAAGGTGTATCAGGTGGGCTGGGCGCGGTGGCTCATGCCTGTAATCCTAGCACTCTGGGAGGCTGAGGTGGGAAGATCACTCTGAGGTCACGAGTTCGAGACCAGCCTGAGCAAGAGCGACACCCTGTCTCGACTAAAAATGGAAAAATTAGCTGGATGTGGTGGCACGTAGCTGTAGTCCCACCTACTCAGGAGGCTGAGGCAGGAGGATCGCTTGAGCCCAGGAGTTTGAGGTTGCTGTGAGCTAGGCTGACGCCACCGCACTCTAGCCCGGAAGACAGAGCCAGACTCTGTCTCAAAAAAAAAAAAAGATGTACCAGGTGGATCCAGGTCAGGCCCGAGTTGTTTCTGGGTAATTGTTAAAATGGTCCCTGCCAGGATCTCACAGACAGTGTCAAAAAGAGCCTGAGACACAAACTGATACTTTTTAATCAATTACACTTGTGTCTCCACTGCTCACATCTGATTGGTACAAAAACAAAGCCGTAGTCAATGTTCTCACATTTTTAAAATTATTCATATTGACTTTATCAGGTTGACAAGTTCTCAGAGGTGATCTGGGATCATTCAAAATCAGAATTACTGAGAGAAACTTTCACAGTAGCTGCTACAGGACAAATTCTAACATTGATTAAAATGACCAATTATTACTATTGAACAAATTTGAAAAAATGAATTTCGCACAAAACATTAAATTTCTCCCTGTCACTATTGTGTGATAAAAATTAAAAATGACATACAAATATGTTTTAAAGTCACAGCGGTCATTAGAAAAAGCAACTGGTCACACTACAGGTAGGTTTTGTCAGACGTTCGCTCTCAAGTTTGTATCAGCTTGGCAGAGCAAGTTGTTTCCTCAAGATTTCAGCTTTGGTTAGTCCTCTTTGGCTACCATGAACATCATGGAGTGTTAACTGTGGTAACAACACATATCCAAAAAGCATTCTTTATTAAATAAATCTAGATATCTCAATGATCTGAAGGAATCAATACAATGTTCCTAGTGTCCATCTCTCTACAGAGAAAACTCTAACCCAACATTTGAGGTATTATCAGTTTATGCAAAATACATTGCAGGAGTCTTTATACCTGGGAATCATTGTAAATACCAAAATAAAATATTTACCTTTTTTTTGCTAGTGACACTAAAAGGCACAACTGTAAAATATACATCTTCATAGAAAAATATTACAAGGGTTTAATTCTCCAAATACCAAGGTTTAACATTTTATGATTACCCTTTAAAAATAGGATATTTCGGAACATTTTTAAGGTTTTCAAAATCAATACAAAGCTTATTTATATTTTTACTAAATCCAACAACACTTTCACAAATGGCAAAATGATCATTGTACTTAACTAAGTCTTTGTTGGGCGCAGAGTCCTGGGCCCGAGATCTCCTTTCCAGGCTCCTTGGTGCGGTGACATTTTGTTACACATGTTCCTTGAAGAACCATTTCTGATGATCCGAGTGGGTGCAGTCTCGTAAGAGTGGCACGAAACTGTCGCTGAACTCCTTCCTCGCAGCCTGGACACACTTCTTGGACTGTTTGTGAAATAAAGTGCCATCCTACAAAAGATAACAGACATTGGTTGGATATTCAAGAAGATTACAGGTGGTTCCTTAGAAAAGTCTCTTTTCCCTTAAAACATGTTTCGAAGAGCTCAGAGTGTGATTTTCATCATTTCAGAGATATTTACTGCAGGGTAACAGTCTTCAGTGTAAAATGGCAACTCAGGACCGTCCCGTGCATGGGGAGCGCCAGGCGCGTACAGGCTGCATCACGCTCGCCTGTCGCAGGACCAGTGGTGCCACCTGCTGGCTGCTCTGGCGGTCTGTCAGACCCTCCATCTGCCTACTGCAATTCCTTTCCTTCAGGGAAATCAGGAAAAAAGATTCTCTGCTTAACTCTTTTGCTCCTCTTAGATCAACTCGTTCCATTCCCAGTGAGTTCTTTCTCTTATGTATTTAAGCAGAGAGTGTGGAAACTTGGCTGTAGTCCCAGCTCAGCCACAGGCCCGCTGGGTGAAGGGGAACGTCACTTGGCCACCTTGCCTGAGTTCCTCACCTGTGAAACGTCAGGGTGAAGCAGTGCGTTCACTCTGTGCCAGTTCTGAAAGCCTCAAAGATGACAATCATCTTTATCAACCTGCCGCTTCTCTCCTCCCTACCAGCCCTTGCTGAGTTATCTCTGCAAGTCTCTCCCAAAGCCTGGTGTTTATCTCTTCCCTCCACCTCTCTGTTGTAAGCTGCATGAACTTAATCACACTGAGCAGCAAACAGGCAGAATGAATAACACACCTGTTCCAAGGGAAGAGAAGCCTTGGAAATAAAATTAGATGCAATCGAATCCCTACACTATCAATCCTGAAAACCCTTCAAAGTGTTCCTAAGTTGCCTTTAGAGTAACTTGAAAGTAAATAATCAAATTAAGTATCTTTCCCATCCTTCTAAACAAACTTACTTTTCCTTATATGGTCACTGAAATTTAAGAAAAAATTTTTAATAACATCTCAAACCAATTTTATTTCATTTACTATTTTTTTTAATATCTTTTTTTTTTTTGAGACAGTCTTGCTGTGTTGCCCGGGCTAGAGTGCCATTGCATCAGCCCAGCTCACAGCAACCTCAAACTCCTGGGCTCAAG